CCTGATGATTGATGTTTTGCTGACCGAAAGTTCGCTTAGTTTAAGTGTTTAGTAACTCCTGTATCGTGGACAAAGGAACCACAGCAGATTTAAAAACTTTGAAGACCGCAGAACAGAAGAAACATGAAATTTTAGGGAAGCTGAATTTAAGAATGCATGCACAAGTAAGTTTGTAGTAGCTTCAACAGTTTGATTTTCATTTGATCACTTGCACACTTGCAAAAGCAAAGTACAACAGTAGGTATTACATGCAGACTTTCTGGTCAAAAAAAGGATCGTTTTTCAGCTGATGGAGGGAGCTTTAATACAAAACTTAATAAATTATTACTGAACACTACTTACTGGGTAAATTGACATTGTGTGCCTTACTGGCTATTAGATTGTCGGATCAGTGTAACCAGCTGCAATTTCAACGTCTGTATAGTTGAATATAAAGGGTGAATTTTTGTTCTCAACTTCCTGACAGGTGCTGAATCTCCATACGAAGCAAGACGATATTCTTACGCTGACTTAATTGGTGCAACTGAAATGCAAGAAAAGCTGAAGGCCTTTCGCTTTTCTATGAATAACTTTGTGATTCTGCGATAGTGGCATTTTAAGAAATTCAGTCAACGTCTGAAAAGTAGTACTTTCGCCTACGCGATGACAGACCTTTTGCATTAACTGCAGCCTTAATTCTTGTGCACATATCACTAAAACGATTCGACCAATAACTCTGACAGTGATAAAACAACGTTCGGCCCGAAACCTACAATCGCTAATTTCACTCACCTTCAATTTCATGCTTTTCAACCGTCTTCGCTGGTTTCAGGTTCGTATGGTCGAACTGAACAACCTGTTGCAGCACTTTACCTTGTACAAACTCTGAAAATATGCTCGAAAGTAGAGAGCAACACAGAAGAACGCAAAACTAAAAAAACATGACCAGGGTTGTAAGAAATCAAATAAATCATACTTCAGCTTTTTGATCCTGAGCCCATAGTTAGATAGATAGGTGCTTGAATGATTCATGGCTCAGGGCATCAAATACAACAGATGGTACAACAGTCTAGTGCCGACGCGTTTCGCTAGCTAGACCATAGGTTCATTAGGGCTAGGTTGAGTACAAATGACTGCTTGAAAGCACTTATGTACAACAAGCCAACGGTACTGTGCAATCAAAATGTTATTAAACTGACCAGTCAGAATGTTAACCAACAAACAGTGTGAAGTTCTCATTAAAACAATCAAACCATTACAGTGTAAACACGATTTATATTATCAATTTTGCAATCGTCCCCCAGCTTTCGCTAACAACCACAGAAAATGTGTATTCATTGCATATGCGGTTTTTCATTGCCACTACATGCAAGGACTCCCTTATCAGCAGACCTAATTTAGACTGGTCTTTGTCTATAGCAGACACATTGGTTTGACTGAAAGAATGCCGTTCAGTAATCGCCTGCTGAGCCACACCGGAAATGTCAGCCTGTCCAAGGCGGACCTCAGAAAGGTGCTCTTTAATCCGGAAGTTCAATTTCCGGTTGGTTTTTCGAATGTACATTTTATCGCACTCTCTGCATTGAACTTGGCATACAACATATAACACATCTTCAAGGTTATTAATAGGCAAGTACTTTTCTAATAACATGTCGCCCAATGTTGTCAGTCTTCTAATAAACATTAAACCCCTGGTCATTAAGGTACTACGTGATACCCTGAAGTACCTGGGGTATGAACGGTAAAATTACGATTGGTCCATAAGAACTAACCACTTTGGGCAAGGGTGCAAAAGTTCTTCATCAAGGATCCTCCTTCGGTAACAGCTCTTTAGGAACGCTTGGCGAAGATGTTAAATGTCTGCCTTTGGGCCTGAAATATTAATGCAAGTCTCTTCGGCTCGTAAACGCAGTTTCGTCACTACGTTCCTAAATAATCCAGGACGGACACATGACACCGGCTGTAGGTATCGATTGAAGTGTGTTGGTTTCCGATATACAGAAACCTCAAATCCACACGATAGCGTTTTCTTCACCCGCACGTCCAGAAAGGATATAGAATAGTCAACTTTCACTTCAGTAGTAATGCATATTTGGCCATTTTTATTTTGTCTATTTATGTAATTCACGAAGCATTCGAACCTTTTCAGTTCGTTCTCATTTCGTTGGAATAATAGGAAAATGTCATCAACGAATCGGACATAGAAGAGTGATCGGAATTCTGGTGGACATTCACCTCCAGATGGTCTATATAAAAATCGGCTAAATCAACAGTCACCGCGAACCTATCGGAAAGCCGTACGTCTTGTGCCAATCATCACAAGGCCGAAGATTGTCATCAAATTATCCACACTGCAGTTTCTTAACACACTTTTAGATGCCCTCCACTCGTCCATCGTGTTCTTCAACATGTCGGTTACTGGTCAACATTCTGGCCAGTCAGGTTAATAACATTCAGTAAAATATTGTTCGCTTCCTGGACATAAGTGCCTTCAAGCAATCATTTGTACTTACTCTAGCCTTGATGATGTTACGGTCTATGTAACGAAACTCGTCGGCAATAAACTGTTGTATCATCTGCAGTGTTTGGTGCCCTGAACTATAATTCAAACATCTATCTAGCTGTAAGAAATCATTGGAGGGATCGTTTATAGAACCATGGTTGATGATCCATTTTATCTGTATGGTATATTATAAGTCGATTAGTATGTCAGCTGACTGCAAAAGCATATGAAAATTGTTACAAAGCACAAATTAAGCCACCCATTGGCAAAAGCCGTAAAACGGCAGCACCACGGAAACATAAAGAAAGACAAAAACCAAGGTTCACTGTCTTAACTATGTTTCATACATTGTGATAGAGGGAAGTCTTCATTTCATGAGTTCAAGTCACCTTAGCTTGCCTTAGCCATTTCTCTGCTTATAAACATGCGTCTAACAATATTCGAACCTTTATATAACTGCAAGAATAGTTCTGCTTAGGCACTGTTTGACGTTCAAAAGTTATTGCAGCTGAGTCGCATTTGACCGTGCGAATATTGGAAAAGTCTAACAAAGAAAGCCAGTAGCATATCCTTTCATTTACTCGGATACAAGTGACACGGAAATTAATGCTGCTAACCTATTCGAGGGAAACAACTTAGACGCTTCCATTAAAGAACTTACGAAAACAAATTGCACATTGGCTGTGGCGGTGTAAAATTTGGATGATCAAAAGATCAGCAGAACGAAACTCTATTGAGAAGCCCCACTACTTTTATACTCCGGATCAGCTCAAAAGACTACAAAATAAACGAATAGTTTTGGTTTTTGGCAACAAATTGTGATGGAAATGCTGAATTTGTGGAATGAAAAAACACATCGCACTCAAGATAATTAGGATTACGCAATTTTCTACTACCTTTATTTTAACCTCAGTTTCGCTCAGTTAACCCTCGTTCTTCAAAGGTCGTCTGCAAATCATTCCTAAGAAGTTTGTTATTTATTACAAGACACTAAAAATTAACCCGCTTTCACTGAAGGAATCGCCTGTTCAAGTGAGAGACAATCTGAAGGTCGTTCCAAGAAAAAATGACTGATAAAAATGAAAATCCGTCTGACATGAAAAGGCAAGCTAATAATGCAAAGTTCAAAGTGAAGCTAAATAAGATCGAACGAAGAAACTAGAACCGCAGGCAAAGAATAGCTACAAATCGGAACCACATTCTGCTTAAGGTCAAATGATGACTATCGCACAAGGTCATGAAATCGTGAACCGGGTGCAGTTTACTTTCGTCCTGCTCGTCCTCACTTCAGTTTTTCTGGCCACACTATCATCAGACCTTCTAATGTTGGAAGAAAATTGGGAAAAGTCATATTTTATATAATCATTTTTTTCAGTACTTTCCTTAAATATAAAGTATCCGAAACAAGCCCGAAGTGTGATAGTTCTTTTTGGCTAAATTCTTTATCTTGCTAAATAAATACAACTTAATTGGGGTATATGGTGTGCCTTGAGAGGAAGTTTAAAGATAAGCGAGTGACTTAAAATTCAGTTTCATAAATAATTTACTGGAATTGACATTATTCATTAATAACTAAAATATTTCAAAACGGATTGACGAGTGTGCGACCTCCCTTTAATCCAAGTCAAAATCAGCAGCGGCTTTCTATTTCATGCTGAGCGAAATTCTGTTCTGAGAGCCAGAAGCGACGAATTTCCAAAACCATACGGCTGGAAGTAATTCCCTGTGAGTTCAACGCATCAACTGCACTCATCGATGAATCACGGTGAAGAAATGGCGCCAGCTAGCAAACGGTGGTGACGGTTCCAAATGCGTCAGCGCAAACGAGGTGAGCGCTTCATCAAATGACCGGGGTATAGCAGGCCATCAGCGAACCAACGACCAAGCTTAAATACTAACAGACAGTCGTCGCCGTCGCCGTCGCCGTCGCATCGAAATGAGTCAACGGCGCGAGAATGAGGATTACCGAGCATCGACCACGGGACAAGCACCGTGCGCAGTAAACCGTATCTGTCACACATCGCGAACGTGAAAAGAAGTTACGACGGCCACAAGTGTTAATGAATCATCAAAAGACGAAGATGCTCACGAACCTTCCTTCGATGGAAGAACCACCTTCTCTTCCGGATCGACGTGCTTCAGCCGCTCGGTTGGGAACGTCTGCACCTCTTCCTGGAAAGGCTCCGGTGCTTTCGGCAGTTCCTGTTTTGACGCCATGATTCGCTTATGATTTTTCTGTTAATCTGGCTGCTGAACGTTCCTTGCTTGACTCCTAAACGATACCGTACTTCTGAGCGACAGACAGCACAACGGCCCTTAGACACATTTATGACGAACCACCGCACGATACGAGCACGACACCGATTCTTACTCTGACATACCAGTAGCGTCGCTCGCTCTGGCCGACACACAACGCACGGTATGGCCAATAATGA